AAAAGACTATAACAAATGCTCTTAACAAGCATGGCTCCCACCCCCCTCAATTTACTCAATCCAAGAGCAAAATTATTAATCTTGACTCACTTTTGAATTCCCATGCTCATTTATACTATTCTATTGTAATCCACACTGGCATTACCGAACACAGCTATCAGCCGTAAGTATTGTTGGTCTTGATTATGAATACAAATAATGATTTCAGCCAATGCCAAATATTTTTATCAGTTAGTACAAAGGTATGAAAATAGCAGCTCAGGAGCTGCGAAATGTCTTACCAACATGCTTTTGTGCTCCTGTATTTTATGTGCTTTTGGCCCAATTTCTGTATTGCAGAAGGGATAAAGGGGGGGGAAAGAATGCCTTAAGACTAGCAGATAGAGATAGTCACCAATATATAGATGGTCACTTAACCATTTGAACTATTCTGTGCACTTAGCAAGCAGACTACATTTATGATCATTTGCAATGTCCCATAGTCATGTGACCACATTTTTGCCAAAAACTGACATTTACTTCCAGTTTTTTACAAAACCAGTCAAATGGTTTGCTTAATGATCACAGCATTCATTTAACAACTCCGGTGTTTGCTTAACAGTGGCAAAACCACCACCAAAAGGTTGTAAAATCATGTGGCGACCCCCTTAATGACTGCGTCAATTTACAATCATGATGGGCAGGCTCCATTATGGTCATAAATCGAGGACTACCTGCAGTCAAAACACTCATTTCAACCCTTGCTTTGCTCGTTGTAGGAGTACAATCTTCACTATGCCACACAAAGCAGGCTGTGGCTGCTGAACTGATGAAATTTATAGTGGAAACCTATAGAGCTGTTAATTGTATAGAATGAATAGACCAAATCCTGAAGGATGCTCAGAAGTCTTCAGTTCCAAGCATAGAGAACCTTCAGAAGGGACATCAGTGCTGTCAAACATCAGGCAAATATTTTCTCATTTCTGTTCATTTTTCTTTCTAGGGAAGCCGAGGAGAACTCCTTCTGTCCCTTTGCTACAATCCCTCTGCTAACTCCATTACTGTGAATATTATCAAAGCTCGGAATCTTAAAGCCATGGATATTGGGGGAACATCAGGTATCGAATTCTAGAACAGTACCAAATAATCCCAAATCAAAAGTCACCCATAAATTAACCTTTTCCTCAGAGGCCTGGCTACTTATATTTGTGGTAAATCTGGTAGAAAACTATGAAATGTCAGAATGTCTTTGATGGTCAGATTTTTTTCCTCCAGCTGAATTGGGTGTTATTTATGTTTTGCCTCACCGGCTGACAGAGATGATGCAGTCTTAGCTCATACAGGATTCTGTATGTAACAGGAGAAATACTAACCATTACCATGGCGGTATTCCATTTACACAGACAAAGGTTTGCCCTCAAACAACAGGTGCCATATAGCTGAAGAGCCCTTTGAAGGTCTGAAAAGACTCCAATTTTAGTTTCGTTTCAATCATGTAAAGTAGAAAAATAGATCCTAGGGAAGTGTTGAT